GGCCTGCATGGCCCAGACCATGCCGTCGCCGGAGCCGAAGACCATCGCCCGATGCCCAGCGAGCGTCGCCAATGCAGGGGAGCTATAGGTCGTGTCGTCGGGGATGAGCGTCGTGCCGCTCAGCCAACGCAACTCGCCGGTCGCCTTGTCGAAGCCCATAAAGCGGTGGGCCGGTTTGGCCATCAGGCCCCACTTGGGCGTGTCGCCCCAACCAATCACCACCGCGTTGAGGATAACGGTGTCCTCGTGGATGATCGGGAAGTTGGTCCGCCCGCCGTAGGTCGAGAGCAGGCCCAGTTCTTCGTGGAGGCTGTGCTCCCAGACGAGCTTGCCCGAGTCGCCATCGAGGCAACAGAAGTAGCCGCACACGCCTTGGGCGTAGACGCGGCCGGTCTCGGGGTCGCCCACGACGCTCGACCAAGCGACGCGCGTGTCGGGCACGTCGGATAGATAGACGTTGAACCGGTGCTCCCAGATCGTCTTACCGCTGCTGGCGTCAACACAGACGACTTTCTCGCCTTCGTTCTCCGTCCCTGGCTGATCGCGGGTGAGCACGTAGAGCTTGCCGTTCATCACGATCGGCGTCGATCGTGAGCCGAGGTCGTCGCGCTTCCAGAGGAGGTTGCTCCCTTCTCCCCCCTCGGGGTTCCACTTTTCGACCAGGCCGGTCTCCGTCGAGACGCCGTCGTAGGTCGGGCCTCGCCAGTTTGGCCAGTCGGCAGCGGTAGCGGTTAAGGCGAACCCGGTGATTGCCAGCGCAATTGCGAGAATCGAGCGGACACTTCGCCAACGGGTCGTGGCTAAGCGAGGTACTGAGCGAGTGGGCATGTCAATCTTTGCGGGATCGGCAAGGCGTGCGGGCATGCCATCCTGGCGGGAGGGTCCTGGCGCCCCGGTCGCGGCGCCTCAACCCGTGTCTAGTGAATGAGTTAGCATAGGCGGCGAAGCCGCCCGGTCTACGAAGAATACCAGGGACCAAGTACCCGGGCCATGCGCCGGGCTTGGCTGACCTTACCGATACGGTGAGATGCATCGCCCTCACAACCGGTATACACGGAACCCCTTCCGCCAACGGAAAATACCCCGCAACAGTTGATGTAAACCATTTGCTGGGAAACGCTTGCGGCATCTCAAGGGGGCTTTCCAAGGCCGCCGATAGGTACGGCTGCAACGCCTTGGTCTCCCGCGATCAAGGCCTCGCATGCGTCGCATCGCTGGCCCAACTGATTCGAGTCAAGGAGTGGCTCGACTGGCGGCGACGCACCCCCCCCGCTGGATCCCACCTCACACGGTCGAGTCGGCCCCGACGGACTCCCGGCACTTATATGTGCCGTTCCCTCGGCTGACGCAGCCGGCCCGCATTGTCGGGCAGCACGCGAAGAGTCTGCCGCTGAGGAGCGGCGTCGCGCGTTGCCGGAAGTCGGCCGGGTGACCGACTAGCCCTCGCTGGGTTGGATCCCGCAGAAGAGTTAGGAGAGTCCTCAATGAAGTTTCAGTTGCTAGGAGCCCTGCTTCTGAGCATGTCGTTTGTTGGCCAAAGCTACGGTGGCCTGCTGGACAAGCTCGGATGCGGATGCGGTTCCGCGTGTTGCTCGGACGCCTGCGATCCGAGCTGCTGCTGTGACAGTGGTTGCTGTGACGAGCCGTCGTGCTGTGCCGATCCGAGCTGCTGTGCTTCGGATTGCTGTGGCAACGGTTGCTGCGAGCCGTCGTGCTGTGCCGCTGACCCCAGCTGCTGTGCTGCGGACTGCTGCTCGCCTTGCTGCAAGAAGCCTTGCTTGCTCGACAAGCTCTTCGGTGGCCTGAAGTGCCACCGTGGTTGCTGCGACAGCTGCTGCGAGCCGTCGTGCTGTGCCGATCCGAGCTGCTGTGCTGACCCCAGCTGCTGTGCCGAGCCCGCTTGCGGCGCCCCGGCCTGTGGATGTGGCGGTGCTCCGGCTTACTCGGCTCCGGCCTCGGCCCCGGCTCCGGCCCCGGCCGCTGCTGACGACGCCGCTCCGATGCCGCCGGCTCCGATGGCGGACCCCAACGCCGCGATCGGCCGTCAGCGTGACGTCGTCCGCGTCAGCTTCGCTCGCTGAGCACCTCGCTCGACGAAGTTAAAGCTGAGGCAACTTGGCTGCGAATGACACCGGCCCGCACGGGGCGACTCGTGCGGGCCGGTTCTTTTTTTGGTGGGTCGTCCCCAAAGCACGGAACCCCCCATTGGGGCGGCGCCTTCGAGAAGGGCCCTAGCGGGCCATCTACGGCGTCGAAGAGGGGGGCCTTGGGTAAACCTTTAGCGACCCCTCGGAAGGCCTCTACGACCCCTCTACGAGCTTCTGAACGCACGTCCAGGGGGTCGCCGCCAGGTACATCATCGGTACCCGACTGAGCCGGGGGGGGCGCAAGCCCTGGGAGTGAGATGGGCGCCCGGATTCCTCCGCGGGCTGTCGCCCACGGCTCCGATCAACCGCGGCGGCGTCGTCGCTACGGAGCGCCAACACCGGCGTGTGTCACGCCTTCTTCGCTGGTAGCATCGTGCGGAAGTGCTCCTCGGGGAGGATCATCTTCTGCACACGGACGCCGAAGCGCTCGCCGACCTTGACCGCTTCGCCGGTTGCGACGGGACGGCCGCCGATCGATACCTCAAGCGGCGCGTCGCACGCCTTGTCGAAGGTAATGATCGAGCCCGGCCCCAGGTCGATGACTTCCGCTAGCTTGATCTTCTTTCCCGCCAGATGGACCGACACCGGCACCATCACCCGCAACGCCGACAGCACGTTCGGCGGCAGGTCCCGTAAATCACGCGGCGCTGGCTTCTTCCAACGCAGCACTTTCGACTGCGACTTGTCCTCTTCAGGCGTGGCGGCGATACCAAGCGGCTGACTTGCCAAGGCTGCCGGCGCCGCCGGGGCGTCTGCAGCGGCCGGACCCTCAGGAGCAGCCGTCTCCAACGCTGGCTCGGCCGCTGCCGCGGCAAACGCAGCGTCGGCGTTGGTGACCGGCCACACGAGCGTCAGCGCGGCGAGCGACTCGCCCTGGGCGATCTCGATCGGCGCGGCCGTCGCATCGGCGGCGGGCTCGGCGTGGCTTACGGCGGCCGCCAGGTCGTCGACCCAGCGCCCCTCGAACGCGTCCGCCATCAGCGAGTCGGGCAGGAACAGCATGCTCAGCTCTTGGCCGAGCGTGCTGAGCTTGCTCTCCCCCGTGGGATCGGGCGCCTTGGTCCACTCGGGGACCATCCGATGCGGGGCGCCCTCTGTGCCAGCCGGCAGCACCGCTAGCATCTGCTCGTCACCGAACTTGAAGGCGAAGACCAAGCCGCCGCCGCTGAGCCCCGCCGTCGACGGATCAAACGGCGCCGGCTCGCCCGCCTTGACGACGAACTCGCCGTCGAAAGCGCGGCTCAGAGCGCCGGAGGCTTCTTCGGCGTTGGTCGTCGTTGCGGTGACGACTTGGGCGGCGAGTTCGGGCGTCAGGAAGGCCACGGCGCAACGCTAGCTAAGGGAGGCGGATAGTCTCCTTGTCGTTATCGGCGACGTAACCGGCAAACTTTGCCAAGCTAGGCGTCGTCGCAGAAATCTCGGCTTCAGCGAGCGTTGCGCGCATCTGAAGTTGGTGGGCCGCCGGATTTTGGGTAGATTTTGGCGACTGGGCGGACCCGGCGGGCCGGGCCGCCAGACCCCTACCATCATCTTGCCACGCAGGGAGGCGTTCGATGGCTACGCAGCCGGTGCGGCTCGTTCATGCGAGCGACTTGCGCTTGGACCGTCCGCTCTACGGATTGACGGACGCCCCGCCAGAACTGCGCGCGCTGCTGCGCGACGCCCCGCTCGAAGCGGCCGAGCGCGTCTTCGAGACAACGCTCGCCGAAGAAGCGGACGCGCTGGTGCTCGCCGGCGACGTGCTCGACGCCCGCCGGGCGTCGCCGCGCGTCGTGTCGTTCTTGCTCAATCAGTTCGCCCGGCTCGAGAAGCGCGGGACGCGCGTCTTCTGGGCCGGCGGCGAACTCGACCCGCCCGACGCCTGGCCCCGCACCGAGCGCCTGCCGGACAACGTCACGGTCTTCCCGATAGGGCGCGTCGAGTCGCACGAACTCAAGCGTGGCAATTCAGTCATCGCCGTCGTCCAAGGCGTCAGCAAGCCGGCCGACCGTGAGGTCGACGCCAGCGGCTTCCGCCGCGACGCGCACGGGCGCTTCACGGTGGGCGTCGCCTATGGCACGAGCGACGCGCCGGGCAAAGAAGGCGACCGCGTCGACTACATGGCGCTCGGCGGGCGTTCGCGTCGCGCGACGGTGGATCACGAGCCCGGCGTCGCGCACTACGCGGGCTCGCCGCAGGGACGCTGCCCCGCGGACCAAGGCCCCTCGGGCTGCACCGTGGTGCAAATCGACGAGTCGGGCAAAGCTAAGGCTCGCTTCGTCGCTGCCGACGTGGTGCGTTGGAACGACGAGACGGTCGAGTTCACCGCCGGCGTCACCGGCGATCAGTTGAAGGCTCGCCTAAGAGAACGCCTCGACAAGCTCCGCAGCCGCGCGCATGGCGTCCACCAACTCGTCGCCTGGCGGCTCGAGGGCGTTGGCCCGATCGTCGCGCAGCTCCGCGCCGATGGCTTGTGCGGCGAGTTGCTCGCCGACTTGCAGAAGCACGCCGGGCGCGAGAAGCCGCTCTGCTGGACGTACGCGGTGACGTGCCGTTCGCGCTACGAGCCGCCGCACGAACAGCTCGACCAAGAGACGATCCTCGGTGACCTGCTGCGTCAGGTGGACGTGATGCGCAGCAACGAGGCCTTCGTGCTCGACCTCAGCGAGATGCTCCCCAAGCCGCTCCCCGACCCGTCGCTGGCGTCGATGGGCCAAACACAAACCGCGACCCAACGGGTCGACCTGTTCAACGACGCCGCCAAACTCGGCGTGGCGTTGATGACGGAAGAGACCTGAGGCTTGAGCGGTGAGACCCGAGGAAAGGTCTCGCAGCGCAACCCTCCAGCCTCACGCCTCAAGCCTCACCCCTGCCATGAAACTCACCGAACTCCACGTCGACGGCTTTGGCGTTTGGAACGAACTGCGGCTGCGTGAGTTGTCCCCTTCGATCACGGTCCTGTACGGGCCGAACGAGGCGGGCAAGACCACGCTGATGCACTTCCTGCGGGCCATGCTGTATGGCGTCACCAAGGAACGCCGCGAGCGTTACCTGCCGCCGCGCAACGGCGGGCGTCCCGGCGGTTCACTGGGGCTAATCACCGACGACGGTCCGTTCGATGTCGTGCGCTACGTCGAGCGCGGCGACGACGACCGCGGCCGCGTTACCATCAACCTCCCCGACGGCGAAGCCCAGGGCGACCGTCTGCTACGCGACGCGCTGGAGTCGGTCGACGAGCGGACGTACTGCAACGTCTTCGCGATCGGCCTCGACGAGATCAACGAGCTCGGCGCGCTCGAGGGCGCCGAGGCGGCGCGGTGGATCTATCGGCTCACGTCGGGCCTCGACCGCGTCTCGTTGTACGACGTGATCCAGGGCTTGCGCACCAGCCGCAAACAACTGATCGCGCCGGCGGGTGAATCGTCGGTGATCGGCGACCTGCTCGGCAAACGCGACAAGCTGCAGGTCGAGATCGAACA